CCCTAAATGCATCCCTGCAATTCTGCGAAAACCCTAAACCCTCAACCCTGAATCTTATATTATATCCCAACATAATCGCTTATTTGATTCTCCATTAATGGTGGGAAAAATATCCCCAGCCACCTAGGCCAGGATGGAGAGACTCCAGAGTAACTTTTTTCCCTCCCGGTTTAGAGGGTTTAGGGTTTGGAGGTCAGGGATTCTCTGTGTAAAAAACATACCCAAAGTGGATATAATATGACTCTATCTTAGGTATGATAGCATGCCCAAACAAAATACTCATCAAACCCCAAGCCCTAACCCTCAACCCTAAAGCTTTAAACCCTAAACCCTAAACCTTTAAACCTTAAACCCTAATACGGCTCACCTGGAGTCGCCTCATTCCTCCTCCGCATCGGGCAGAGGGTCCACCCCAACCGCGGCGTCCACGCCTAGCACCCGAGTGTCACAAGAAGGGGGCTTAGGGTTTAGGGTTTAGGATTTTAGGGTTTAGGGTTTAGGGATGATATAGGGTTAAGACCAATAATGAAGAAATGGAAACTAGAAGTCTTTAAGGGTTTAGGCGGTGCAGGGGTTTCCTAAAATTAGGGCTACCCTGTTGGGGGTCCCTACAACAGGATTGCAGTCTTTTGGATCCATACCGGGCTTCCCCATTTGGGAAACTACCAAATGTTCTTCAACTCCAAACAACTTCCTCGTGTCTAGCAGCGCCTGTAACTGGATCCACTGGACTCTGGGAAACTGACCTGCCAGCCACAATGCGAGCAGACCCGTTTGGACTCACAAGCTTCATGATAATTACTGGGTTGCTGTTAAGGAACTTAATTCAAGTTACTATATAGGGGAAGCCCTATTATTTACTATATATACCCATTATGGTAACTTAATTTAAGTTCCTTAACAGCAACCCAGATTAACAATGCAAGCCTCTTCTCAACAAGGTGATACCTCGCTGGTGCACACTGCAAACCACCAACCGAAAAAATGCCAGTCACACAAAGTGTAGTTTGAGACAATTGCCAGTACACATTGAGCTCATCATCGCGAAAAGGTACCCAGGGGCCAGTCTCGACCTTCACTCACTCATTTGAAGCAACAAAACTGATTTTTGTGAAATGGCTGCAAATGAGGATAGAATGCTTAAGCCATTGGCCGTCGAACGTGCTCGGTCCGTAAGCACCTGATCTTCATGCACAGGCTTCATGTCCTGATGCGGGAGAATAGCGTTGCCTGCGCTTCCTCTGGTGGTACAAGAAAGCCACCACGAAAGATCTGCCCAGTGTTGTCCTCATCAAGCTAGTGCTGGGGGCTTTTCAAAATTAGAGATTCCATTTTGAGGTTCCCCATAGTAAGGACTGTAGTATTTTGGGGTCTACATTGGGGCCCCCACCCCATTTAAGGCAACTACACGCTCTGCCTGTGCTCTTGCTAATCTTGCTTGCATCCAGGTGGCAATGGTCAGGTGCACATGCTGCCGACCTTGGCATCACGGGAGAGTTTTGGGGCTTAGGGTTTAAGGTTTAGGGTCAGAACTCCTCAAAGGGGGGTTATCTGGGGGATTATATAGGGGAGTATCAAAGGGGCTATTGAGGGCATACTAGGAATATGGCTTAGGAATCCCTCATCATGGAAAACAAATGGAAATTGGGAGTTGGGGTTCCCAAAATTAGGGATGCGATTACCCTTTACCCGAGGTTCGTTCAGGTAAGATACATAATGCTAGGTCATGCTTCTCTGCAAGACGGTTTCTTCAGGGTTTAGCGTTTAGGGTTTAGGGGCTTAAGGTTTAGGTTGTTTGAGGAGTGGGTTCAGAGTTTAAGGTTTAGGGAACAACCATTGTCGAAAAACGGAGTAAGACATGCAAAGGACCTTCAAGATCCAGAATCTTCAATGGCTTTTCTAGGGTTTAGGTCTTAGGGTTTGGGATGCGGGACCTTTGGCCATCAGCTGGAAGAATCTTTCGGTGGTCATGTGAGCTATAGTCTAAACTCCTAGTATCCCCTCTACTGATTAGTCGCATCGATATTACAGTTTTGATGACTTATAGCATGTTTTGAAGTCTCAGGCAAAGGCGTTTTCCCTTTCTATGAAGCCGGATGAAGCACTCCGTGCAGAAGAGGTCGACGCAATCCTGCAGAGCAACCCTCAAGTGACACCAAAACCCTTTTGCCCTTTGAGCGAATCAGCCTTGCATCAGGCACACTCATCGATATGGACGGCTCATGAAACTCTTGGGGCCAACCTGTTTCAACCTAGCTGGTCTGCTACATGGTAGTTTCCCAAAATAAGGGGACCCCAATATAGACCCAAAAATACTACAGTCCTTATTATAGGGACCCCCAAAAAGGTATCCCTAATTTTGGGAAACCTTAATCCCTATAGTCCCCTATATAATCCCAGTTTCCATTTCATTTTCCATTTTCTTTTCCATTTGATTCTCCATTATACCCTATATAACCCTATATAACCCTATATAACCCCTATATCCCCCTTAAATAGCTGTCTTGTTGTCCAACAAATTTCAGCAGAGCAGGAGCCATGGGGCCATAGAAGCCAAATCAAAGTCATAGCACGGCCTTTTTATTGGGGTTATATTGGGATAATGGAAAAGAAAATGGAAACTACTATATAATGGGGTTATATAGGGATTATAGGGTATATATTGGGGTTATATTGGGATGATGGAAAAGAAAATGGAAATCATAGGAATTGTATATGGATATATTGGGGATACAACTGAACCAGTAGCGTACTCTCGCTAGGCCTCGACTTTACACTCTGCTTGCAAGCGCTAGCTCAGTCCAGACCCCCTCTCCCACCCAGGATCCAGCGCCTTTGCGCGGTGTACAATAAGGCCCTCTGATCCACACTACGATGCACTTCAGGACTCGTGCTGTTTCAGTACCCTTGGAGCGTTGCCAAAGCATGGCTTACATTCAAGCCTGGTGAAAGCCAGCTGCCGCCAAGCTTTAATTCGGGACCATGGAGTTTTTTTAGATCTCACAACAACAAGATAAATCATGGTTTTGGACATGGAGCCAACGCAGTCTCAATGCTGCAAGGATTGCCACAGGATGCCGTTTGGATCTTAGAAGGTGAACCTGAACAAATTTCTACGAAACCAATTCACAGCCTTGGGTGTGACCGAATTCACTTCATGAGTTCGCGTCTTCCCGTGAACGAGCAGGACAGCAGAAGCGGGCTGCAAAACCAGGAGGGGGGTCCTTATTAAGGACGGCAAACTAACTCTTCACTCTCAAGTACGTGGGATTCACTGGGACCATGCGGTAAATGCAGGAAAAGTCGCACAAAGCGGGCCCCGTAGACTATGGCCATTCTCAAAAATTCGAACCAAATTTCATGACACAAGAGCGGATGCAAAAGAACCGCAAATTACAAGCACTGAACCCAGTAACATTTTGTTCTTCTGATAGCACGCTACAACCAAAAAAACAACATATCACTCAAACTAGCGGGCTATAGCATCCAATTTCAGAAATACTGGTCATGTTATACTGACGCCTGCGCAGCGATAGTATACCATGACTGTCCGTGGTGTATGATAACATATGCCACATACCGCGAAGTTTCAATACAGAAGCACAGAAACTTGCAATAAGTGTGATACTGGTTTCAGGTATCAGTGAATGATACTGCAGCAAATCAACTCCGAATCATTCTGGAAATATGCAAAACACGTTATGCATTTCATATGCTTACATACATGTGCGTAGACACGGCGTGTTAAGAGCAAGCACCGCCCCCTAGCATATTGTCAACCACTACATACACCAACCTCCAACAATAGTAGTCGAGAAGTATGCAAAAGCATATCTCCAGATTCTTGATATGAACACGTTGCATACGTTCCAATGTTGGGTGACTGTCCGAGCAAATGCGATTGAACACCCAAAAAGGCCAGACACCCCTTATAGTAGCAGTCCCTATAGAACCCAGTATGGTAGCTTCCATTTTCTTGTCCATTCCTTCATTCCCAGCTGACCAAGGTAAGAAAAATCAAGAAGCCGCAAAAGCCAGAAAACCGAAAATCAGCGGAATGCCCGAGCCTCTTAAAAGCATGTATCGACCCTGGGGCCCAAAGTGGGTAGTATTCATGGGCCTTTGAAGAGGGATATAGGGGCTATGGGGTCATATTGGGGTTCTATACGGATATATAGTTATAGACTCTGGGGCACAAAGTGTAAATAAGTACGTGGATAGACTTAGAAAGGGTAAGTAATTTCTCAAAATTATGGTTCCCGTTTGATAATAGATTATATTACGGCACCTAATACTCAGGAGTACCAAATGGTACCCTAATTTTGGGAACTACGAATATAGGGATAATGGGGATAATGGGAAAGAAAATGGAAACTAAGGAACTACCATTTATGGTTTAGGGTTTCCCAAGATGAGGGGTACCTTTGTGAGGTCCCCATGGATTATCATACATAAGGGTCTATATTGTGGACCCCCATTCTTGCCAACTAACGCATAGAAACCAAAACAGTGTAATCCTTATAATAATAAGGACAGATACAACAGCATTCGAAAAAGAGCGCACTTTCGCAGTCTTCCTTGTACACAAATCTTAGGACAAAATGAAGAGAGGCAAATGGAGCATGATTCCCCAAACCCTAAACCCTAAACCCAATTATACAGCTCCTTCACACTTCTTAACATCAATGGTTTAGGCACTGGTACTCGGGTGGATCGTCGCAAGCATTTGCAGGCATGCAGCCCCGACATCTGGACTCTGCGTTCAAAACCTCTTTAACAAAAAATCCTGGCGAAACTTCCACGCGTGACGAACAGCAACCATGCGTGCCCTGCTTTTCATGCACGGACGTGAAATCAATTGTGTTGATTCTAGACTCCTGGTGCGGTTTTTGCTGAGCAACACCAGGCTTGACGGGTTGTCAAATGACATCGGCTGTCCGGCGGATTCCAATTCATCTGTATCTGTGAAAGATGTGGCCTACATGGCTGCCCCTTCACAATCACGTGACGAAGCAGCCTGCCTCACACAGCACTGATGCGTTGTAGTGCTCGCACTCGAGGCAGACTAATCCGTTGATGACGCGCTTCAAATGATTTCGCCTCACTTTCTGCCAGTAAAATTTGCGCATGCTGATGTCCGCACCTCTGGACTACCTTGGACAAATCTGGGTTCAAGGCAAGTCTGGACGTGCAGCGTCCCACGCATGCACGTGCCTAAGCTCACTCGAAACGCGAAGCTGCCAGCTTAACATTCTCAGACTGCTGCGACGGCATCTGCCAGTTTCGGAACTGGGCTGACCGCATGAAGCCCTCATCAGAGTAAAAGAGACCACACTGCACCTTGGTGTGAGAATGACAGACAACGGGAGATTAGGAAACATCAGGAAGACTTTCTGCCAACAGAACCACTTGGTGCGCGAGCACACTGGCACGTGGCTACTCTGTCTTCGAAGGCTGCACCTGATTTTCAGTTGAGCAATTGAACGTCAAACGAACCATGTGCCAACCGTCTCAGTCCCGGTCAAACTAGCTGCTCGACGTCCGAGGTGATATGAGCACGTCGCTTGCCAGTAGCATGCGTACTATTGAAGCAGTCCTTCATGCACGAGAAGCAGTCACCAGCAAATTACATGAAGTTTATCAACTGCAAGCTGAGCAAGTGGTACAACGAGTCCTGGCAGAAAAAGTCTTTGCACTGCTCGCACTTTAACACCGCTGCCCGATTCTCGCATTCTTGACACCTGGCAGTAGAAGTACAACTTGAGCATCAGAAATAATCATAATCGTAGTAATAGTAGTAATAGTAATAATAGTAATAATAGTAATAACAGTAATAATAGTAATAATGGTAATAATAGTAATAATAGTAATAATAATAGTAGTAATAATAATATATGAGACTCTTCAGCACCACATGCAAGCGAGCCAGGGAGCATGACCACTGTTGTGGGCTTCCGTATGACATCAACCTGACCACAGTTGGCATATTACCGTCTGGATTGCTGAAGCTTTCCAACGCTACCTGAGCTATTATCTAAACTCCTAGTATCCTCCTTAATATGCCCTATGGTAGTCCCCTATAGAATCCCCTATATAAAGCCCTTTAAGGAGTTTAGACTATAGCTCACCTGATTCTGCTTCTTCCGGATTTGTCGCAGGAACTCGATAGGATCCTTCAGATCCTGCCCGGTCTTCCATCGACACAGCAAGACCAATAAGCTGACATGAACCTGCTCAGACTCAACAGCTCATTTGATCTCCAGAAAGCTGAAGTACATAAATAAAGATAAAGAACAGAAGTTGACAAAAGCAAACAACAGCCTTTTTTTCAAAAAACATCACATATCCGTCCAACATTCTTATAGCCAAAGGTGTTGCACTGCTGCTGACCCCTGTTGCTACAAGATGAGATCCTGCACAATGCTGCTCAAATCCAGCTTCTTCTCCACGTACGCCTGAGGCAGCTGGCTGAAAGGCAAACTCTTAGCCTTACGAAAGCCCTCTGCTTAGCCTCGACAAGGGCAAGTTGAATAAACTATAATATACCCTATAGAATCCCTATAAACCATAGTAGTTTGCATTTTATTTTCCATTATCCCCAATATAGCCCCAATATAACCCTAATATTATATAGTAGTTTGCATTTCTTTTCCACTATCCCTATATAGCCCCAATATATGCATTAAGACCTGTTAGTCTGCCTCGATGGTTTGCTTCACCACTCGGAAGAGAAAGAACTCCTCGAGGCAGGCGGAGTTCAGACGCAACAAGGGTATATATTGGGGCTATATAGGGATAATGGAGAAAATGGAAACTACTGTAGTATCTTGGGGTAATGTAGGGATAATGGAA